AATTTTATGTCTCTTTGCAGTTGTTTTGTGTCCCTTTACATCTCTTTGCTCTGCCCCTCGGGCCCCTTGGCCTGTGCCCAGTGGGCCAGTTAAGCAATACATCTATAAGTTTTATCTTTTCACAAAGTAGTGCCTCAAAAGACACTGCAAGCATCATTTTAAACGCAGCTACACGTCTGTGTTGAACAACAGTGAATCCTGCCCTTAGAGGCCTGGGAAGAAGTAGAAGCGCTTTATTAGAGTGCATCTGTCTTTGGTCGGCATCTGTCTTTCAGTTTGAAAGGAGAACTTTTGGTAGCACTTTACAATAAGATACACAAAATTAGAGTAGTTACCGAGAAACTAATGAGGAACTAAGGAGTAGTTAATGGTCAGTTCTTCAGTAACTCCTTATCAAATTTCAGAGGAGCATTAAAGAGCCTAAGAGCTTGATATTAGGAGAAGGTTAAGACTAAAACATATTTAAAAAGAGAGTATAATACTAACGCTGGATTTATTTCTTGTGTGAACTGAAACTGTGTCTGCTGATAATGTGTAAATGTAGATGATAAACAAAATCATATTATTCACGTGAACAAAAAGGGAGGGCACTGTTTTTTTTTTTTTTGTTAATTAAGGCCAGTTTTTGGAAGCTCCTTGGATATTTACTGATGGGTCATTAAGTTTTGTCTTTACTAGGTGTGGAAAAATGTCTGTGAATGAAAAGATAACTCATGTTGTTTCTGGCATTTGTATGAATCTTACCTACAAGGTGAAGGAAAATAAAGTGGCTGCTAGTTTGTGCTTCAACTCTACTATCCTTGTGTCAACATGCTGACTGTGTTGTTGTCTCTCACTGATACAGCCCAGAGTAAGCACACATGGTTTTGCTTAAGTTACCAGATTTCTAACCCGCAGACACTTGTTTGCATCATTTCACATGTGTGTGTGTGTGTATGTGTGTGAACTCTTGGTTGGTTTGCCCCCTCTTGCATCTTTACATTGACTCTCTATGTGCACCTCCTGAAAAAGTTGCCTCCTGATTAAGTCTGAACGCTTTCTCACAAAGATGGGTTCATGCTTCTGCTCAAGGGTGATAACTTTGGCCTAAGAATAATGGCAAGAAAAACAATAATAGTATATTGTAAAAATGATAAATGTAATGTAACAGTTTCCGAGCGCACCAGAACAGTGCTCCACCACTTTATTTCCTCAAGTGAGGAAATAGAATATTTGCAGTTTGCATAATCCAGTTGAAATGTATTTACATTTTTTTAAGGGCTTAAAAATCTAATCATCCGTAAAGTGTTTGTCATCCAGGGAGATGATAAAAACAAGCGGAATGGTGAAAGTTGTCATATTGACATTTAAGGTGTGTTAACATTCCACCTTAAACGTTGCCGGTACTACTGGTAGCCTCTGAGCTGCACAGTGAATTGTATTATTTTTTTCTCAGTCTGAAGCTAACTAACTGTTAACTAGTAAAGATGAAAAGGCAGCAAAACATATTTTAATTTTTTCGAACTGCTTAAATACTAAATTCACCCAATATGCATCTGGCCGATAAAAAATATGCTTGGCCAGTGGATTTTTTTACCAGTCAACTTGGCCGGTGAGTCAAAAAGCAATGTGCTTACATATATTTTTACATCTATGCAAATACATATACTATTTTTGTAAATCATATATTGAATAAATAATCAAATACAGAGACAGTTATTTAAAAATATGTTAAGGAGTAGTTACATTTATACCATCTTACAGTTACAACTGGCCCTTTGAGGGCAACCATAATGCTGATGTGGCCTTCAGTGAAAATGACTTTGACACCCCTGGTTTAGGTTGAAACAATCCATTTATTTCGGTTCAGTTCTACACTTAATTTAACTCTCAACGAGTTGTACCGAATGTAAACATGGTAAATTTTGTAAACATTATAAAATGCCTGTTTGAAATCATAGTTAAAACTTTGACAAACATTGTAAAACTCTGCACAGCAACAGTTTATTTGGTGGAACAGTATTCCAGTATTAAGTTCTTTGTGTCACATGTGACAGTGGAACAGTAGCAAGAACAACATAAATGCATAGACACATGTTGTAGGTGAACTATTGCTTTCAGAGANTATTAAGTTCTTTGTGTCACATGTGACAGTGGAACAGTAGCAAGAACAACATAAATGCATAGACACATGTTGTAGGTGAACTATTGCTTTCAGAGACTGTTCACGCAACACCAAAAGTAGGGGCCTGCAGAATGCCCTCCTCCATGTATTTGCTGAAGTCCTCATAATCACTATGTATGGGCAAGCGGAGGATTATGAGGCAGGTGTTGGCCTCTGGAAACACTCTGTTGGCTTCGTGGATGAAGTGAATTTGTGGACGGTGTGGAAATCCGAGTGGAGGCACTGTTGAGGCTCCAGAGGTAAACTCCAGTACCTTCTCAAGTGTGATTGCACTGCATTCTCCTTCTGTAAGACAGAAAGTGGTGAAAAATGTATGGTATATACATAACCTTGTATAGGTATGAATGACAAAAACAGCAGTATAAATGTCAAGAGTACAATCTGGAAATTGTTTCACAAGTATTTGAAAAAATAAAACAAATTTAAGTAGTTCTTGTTAGTACTTGTTTCAGTCTATCTAAACAGCTAACAGTATGTAATGCCTTTCACTCCTTGATGCAGCTGAAAAAACAGTCCCTGAGGGTTAACCCTTATGAGTCTTGGGCTATTTTGGCCGTTTTAAATTATTTTTGATTTTGCCTTTATACACCACATTAAAAAAAACATGTTTGATCACATAGCTGAGGTTGTGCTGAAAAAAAAAGATATCAAACACTGACATGACAGACAATTACTGACATACTATTTTAACATACTAGACCCCAAAACACTCAAAAACACAAAACACTTCAACCTTATATGATCATATCTCCGTTTTTACTTGGTCTATCAACATCCAACAAAAACTGGCATGGAGTTTCCATATTGCACTTTTGATGGAAGTTGATGGTAGTGCTCCATGTGGATTGGTTTTTGAAGAGACTAGACTCCCAAGGGTTAAAGACATTTTCATCTTTCCAGTGCAATATTGTGAAAATGTAATTTGGTGCAATGTCAGCTACTTTTACCAGTTGGATGTCTCCATCAACTTTAACAGAAGAAAAACCACTTTACATCCATCTTCTACAAATTTACATATGGTAGTAGAGAGGTAATACCTGGACTGATGTGCAGTGCCATTCATAAATAAAAGATATAAACTGAAAGTGAAAGTGAAGTTATAACTAATGCCATAAATAGTATACCTTCGATATCAATGAGCCAGTCACGCCAATAGCATATTGTGCTGTTTTCTTTGGCTCTTTTGTTGCTGCCCTGCACAGAGTAGTCAATTCCAAATAGAGAGAAGAGGTCCTTCGCCTGCAGTGGCCTCTCCTCACTGACGAACATGCTGCGGAACACTGCTGGATTCTCTCTAAGCTCCTCCAGTAATCCTAGGGTTCTAAACCCCTCGACAAACCTGTAAAACATGTTACATCATTTGTGACTTTTCCCGGGCTAATCACAGTCTCATTAATCTGACCAAAGAAAGGATAGGAAAATGCTTACTGGTCCAGGGCAGTCTGCATCCTTCCGTTGACAAAAAAGTCTGCAGCAGACTGGACAAGGGAGTCCTTCTCTTTCAGGTTGGAGACATGTCTCAAGGCACCTATAATGCTGAGACTGTCTGCTGCCTCTGCAATGGCACTGTTTGCCTCTTGGACCGTTGTCGCTTCCTGTATCTAAAAAGAGTTTATTTCTCATTAGAAATTTAATAGAAAGCAACTTGAGGGCTGTGTCACATAAACTGTAAAATCAATGTATAATACGCTCCTGCTTACTTTGATTAACTGTTGCCTGAAGGTATGGTCACAAACTTCATCTACACTGGCGAGGGATGTTGGTATCCCACAGATCTGCTGGAAAAGCCTTTCAGAGAAGAAATGTGGTCCAACTCCTCCATGAACGACACACACAGCTATCATTTTTGCCACCCATGTGTATAGATTAGTCTGTAAAGCTAAAATGAAAGAAAAAGCTGTAAATTGTTGTTCTGTTCTTAAAAATGTAATGCCTTAAAAATTTAATGTCTTAAAAATATAATGACTGACATTAGTGCTACAACAGATGATAATAAATTGTTATAGCACATTTCAAAACATGTAAAAGGTGTTTCAGTCAATTTAAAACATGAATCAATGAAGAATCCACACTTCAAGGCAAAAATAATTATTAAACAAAAATAACAGATACAAGTAAGTTGATACCCAGACAATGATAACACAAGATAATACCTGGCAAATCAGGCAGGAGAAAGAGTTCAGGGAGAGCATTTCTTAAAAATTAGTTTCCATGTATAAACTTGCAAGGACCCAAAGGACAATCATGAGAATGTGGGCTTACTTACCTTGAGTATCAAGAGATAACTGCCGATCTTTCTCGTGGCCCTCAAAGATGTTTGACTGGTGGATGGCCCTCATCAGCAGCCTTAGGTACTCTCTTGTTGGCCCACCTTCGTCAACTGCCCCTTCACCATTGCCATCTTCATCCACAAACACAACGTCCAATTTTGCTTCAGGGTTGAAGTTCCTACGTTTGAATGCTCGCAGGCTACACAGCAAGACATTATTCCTGCATACATTTATTTGGTTGCTGGTTGGACAGAAGCTTTCATCAACTTTGCTGACCAGTTTTTTCAGTATGTTCTGAAGATCAGTCCTGCAACCAAAAAAGTTAATGCATTTAATCATATGCCAAATGTACCACATTTTATAACAGTTCTAATTTTTGGGCTCACATGATTAAATGCAACAGGACATACACATCACACTGGCTATATATATTTACTTTGGGTTAGAGTGAGTCCTTTGTGTGATTTAGATTAAGAGAAATGTACACTCAGACAAACAAAACAATATAAAGGCAGGGTTAATGAGAAGAAACATACTCATCCACAGGTTCTCCCAGTTGATGTTGTGATACAGGTGACAGACTTTGTGAAACTGGCTCCTCTTGTTCATCAACAATAATGTCTAGATCCTGGGCAGATGAAGGAGTGAGTGGTCCATCTTCAAGAATTTGGATTTCTGTTGTGTATGAGAACAGGTTGAGTGGTGGCTGGGTGGAGGGCACAGAGAGTGGTGGCTGGGAGGAGGGCAGAGACAGCAGTGGCTGGGTGGAGGGCAGAGACAGCAGTGGCAGGGTGGAGGGCACAGAGAGTGGTGGCTGGGAGGAGGGCACAGACAGCAGTGGCTGGGTGGAGGGCAGAGACAGCAGTGGCAGGGTGGAGGGCACAGAGAGTGGTGGCTGGGAGGAGGGCACAGACAGCAGTGGCTGGGTGGAGGGCAGAGACAGCAGTGGCAGGGTGGAGGGCACAGAGAGTGGAGGCTGGGTGGAGGGCACAGACAGCAGTGGCTGATCAGGAGATGCATGGTGTAGGGCATAAGCTCCATCATTTTGCTGACCTGAGATAATTTCCTTATTTGAAGACAAACATGCACAATAGATGCGCTCGCATGAACCAAACACAGATTCCATTTGAGACAGGACGTAAGATATGCAAATACATTTCCATTTACCTGTACATCCTGATTTGAAAGCCAAAGTACATATAGAGTTGGGGATGCTTTTAGGTCATGATCCATTACTGACCCAGAGGAATTGCTCTCAATTGTTCTTGATGATATGGCTTCCTGCACCTTAAAGATTTCACTGGCCATTTCATGTTGACCAACAAAGTCAAACAAAAAACTAATATACCAGACAGGTGTTACAACCCTCAGAACCACTGAGAAGACCCTTCATATTTTGTGAAACTGAACACCCCACCTGAATTGTCACAGACAAGCAGAATTTCCTCATGTTGACATATTTAAATTTTAATGATACCCCATCTGAGGGTTCCTCTCATGCAGCCATTCGCTGACGTCTTGTTGATAACTAAAATAAGCTAACACACTACAAAAACAAACCTTTTGACGTTTTTCCTCAAAGGCCTGATAAGCCAGTTTCTTCATCTCCTGTGTAAAAAAAGAACATATAAAAAACAAGTGTTTATGCTTTTTGTATGAGCATGTAAATCATAAACAAAAACACTTTGAGAATTTTACCTTTTCCTGGTCCTCCAACAAGGTTTCATTACATTCTTGGTCTTGCTGGGCACGTATTGCTCGCCATTCTTGAAGAGCCTAAATCATCCAAAATGACATTCCTCATGAATCACCATAAAATAGTACAGACACACAGACACACATTAATAAAATAAATAAACAAAGAATAAAATTCTAAGATATAAATTGTCAGAATTATTGACCTGATCTGAAACTACATTTTGAGCTTGGGTACTCTCAGCCACAAGGATGGTCCCATCTTGTACTGGGGCAGTTGAGTGGTGGGAATGAACTCTGGGATATGGCAGAGGATGTGGGTGTTGCTTCAGGAAGAGAAATAAAAACACACAGCAGTAATATCTTTCAAAATAATCAAGAAAAACGGCTTGCCATATGCTCTGACATGGTGGTATGGCTTGATGAGCAAATCGCTCCTGCTCTCCACTTGCCGTAGCGGTATGGCAAGCCATTTTAACATTTAATCGCTAAGTTTGACTATCCGGAATTACCATTATAGATATCAACAACATCATTTTGACTAGTCGTAATGTCATTGTGACTAGTATTAATTTTAATTGAAGATATCTATAACGTCATTCTGACTGGTCAAAACTCTAATTACAGATATCTGTAATTCAGTTTTGACTAGTAAGATTCAAACTACTTTTGCCATTCATGTGTATGGGGTTTCTCATTATAGATATCTCCAATGTAGTTGTGGATATCTGCAATTCTTATTGCGGATATCTGCAACTGAATTGGAGATATCTACAATTCAGTTGCAGATATCTACAACGTCATTTTGACTAGTCACAATTCAAGTTCAAGATATCTACAACGTAATTCTGACTATCTGAAACTTAATTCAAGATATCTAGAAAGGACCATGTAGATATCTTCAATTGATGATAATTAAAGATATCTTGAACTTGAATTATGACTAGTCAAAATTAAATTGTAGATATCTCAAACTGGAATTACAGATATCCACAATTCAGTTGCAGATATC